AGCTAGCCAGATATCACATTCGAACCGAGACAGCAAACCTTACCTACAGCTTCAGTTCAAAATCAATTCCATCAGTGCCGCATCTCTTGCTGGGCGCGCGGCGCTGCTGGGCTTTGGCCAGTTCCTACACAGTGCGACGAATTCCGGGGTGCTGAATGTAGGCATGGACATTGAGTTTGAGCGGGGCACTGGCTACGACAAAATTTTGGCAAGGTACAAATGCAGGTGGACGCAGCTCCGAAATTCCATGGAAACACTGCAACAACCCCAATAAATACCCGATTTAGTAGTTTCCATGTTCTTAATATAATCGTGTTCATTGTCTTTTCCACAATTCCCTATACCCTATTAAACCCTGGAGCTCCTCCTCTGCCTGCTTCTTGTCCTGCCTGCAGGCCTGAGCTCATCATCCCTATAAACCTTTACATATATGTATACACATATGTATGTATACGAATGTGTATATGTATATATACACCAAATCAATATGTATGGTGTGTGTAAATATATATATATATCCTGTATGTGCATATGTATATGTAAATGTGTATGTATATGTAGATGTATGTGTATGTATGTATGTACGTACGTACGTAGGTATGTATGTATGTATATAATCGTATATCTTTGTTCTTGCTGCCATTTCAGTTTCCCATTTCGTTTCCCTTCGATTCTCCATTATGCCCTAAACCCTAAATCCCTAAATCCCTAAACCCTAAACTCCTAAACCTTAAATTCCTCATCCCTAGTCCCCCCCAAACCCTGAATCCTAGAGCTTCCAGGGCAAAAGCTGACTCACCTCAAAGTTGACGTGCTACAGGGGCTTTATGGGGGTTATATAGGGACCTATAGGACTAGGGCTATGTTGACCATTTAGGGGTTTTCTTGAGGTGCTATAGGAATGCTGGAAAAGAAATTGAAATCACCGCCTTACATAGGGGTTGTATAGGGCATGGGAAATAAAAGAAAAGCAAGTTCAAACTTGTCACATTTGTACGCTGCCTCGCCGTCGGGTCACCTCTGCGTTTCGGCATGCGCTTGATCTTCTACGTGTAAGCTGGTCTCACAGATCTTGCCTGTGGAGATCACAATATTGTGCGAGGTCTGGGCTAACATAGAAACTGGGATCTCAAGAATTGGCGAAGGTACTAATAATCTTTCCTCAAGTTCGATTATACCAGGAACCCGGCCTGTGCCCTCGCTAGTACAATGAAAAAATCTGCTGTACACATCATCTACCTCCTTTCCAAAACCCCAACATATGCCCTAAATTCCCCATGTAACCCCCTAGAATCCCTGTAGTTTCCATTTTATTTTCCATTTTCCCTATATAAGTGGTGTGTGTCATGATCCCTCTGGGCTTCAAGCTGACAAATCCCTGGACAGCTCCTCCACCTGTTCGCGTGCTGGTTCAAGGGTTTAGGGTTTAGGGTTTAGGGGGTTCAACTGCAGGTGCTCTTGTGGTTGGAAGACACTTCACGAAAACCAGCAAAACTAAGGCGTAACATGCCTAAGCGCAGGAGTGCTGACAATGACCCAGGAATGCCCAGGATACATTTGAGCCATAGCCTAAACTCCTAGTATCCCCCTTAATGAACCCCTATAACGCTCCCATATATAACCCCTGTATAGCCACCTTTAATTTAGATTATATAGCTCATTTAACCGACCCCTAAATACTAACCCCTATGTAACCCTATATATTCCCTCTAAAATCTCTAGAGAACCCCTACTTAATCCCGATATAATCCCTATAAAATCCCCGTATAACCCCTTGAAAAATCCCTATATCATCCCCTTTAAATCCCTAAACAACACCAGAAAGTCACCCTTTGAAGGTATTAGCCCAATGGCCAACAGACCATGCCAGCGCCTGCTCCACCAGTGAAGGCCTTAAAATGCAGCAGATCCTCTGCACTATGCTGGACTCTGATTACTTGTAAGTTACTACTACTATGAATATTGCCATTCTTATTACGTTGTGCTGGAATCTGGAAATTTCCTAAAATTAGGGGTACACTTTTGGGAGTCCGACTATAGTATCTTGGGGTCTGCATTGGCGTCCCCCTATTTAGGGAAACTACAATCCGAGCTTTGGCATGCGCAGCTGGGCTCTGGACGTCTGCTCTGCCTGCAACTTGAGTTCCACATTGGCCTCCGTGCTTGTCATCGGGTGATACAGGCCTCCCTCTACCTGGTGGTGGCTATGCTAGCCTGATTGTTGCGTAATAGCCAACCTGAGCACTGATTTTCCAGTTGTAATTTCTTTCTACTAAAAAAGGTTCACTGCTACCATGCACTACAATGCACTACTTAGAGCTTCACGGCAATCATAACACAGCAATTAACGCCGGCACGTGTTTGTTATGTGTCTCTACGTGTGTATATATACAGTATATATATATATAGTGTATATATATATAACTTATGCATACTATATAAATATACGTCCACGGATTGTAGGGACCAACAAGGCTTTTTTCTGGGCTCTAAATATCATTATAATTGGGCCAGAATTACTCTGAACCTGCGAGTAGAGTCGCAGCCTGTTCTAGGCTGTCAACCAGCGACTGCAGCTTCATTGCGTCGCCGGCTGGGGTCACCTTTGGAGCCCAAACCACGCTTCAAAGTGTCCCAAGACACAATCCCCCCTACTCTACCGGAATCTAACCAAAAATAAAAACTACCAAACACCTCCGGTGCGCGATTTTTCTCACCTTCCCTAATTCCTGGCTCTCAGACCCACATCCTAAGGCTTTGTTGCTCCCGAGTCCTTCACCGGTCGAGACGCTTCAGGCTCCTCCTTCAGCCTGCACCAAGGGCCCCGCTGCACATAAGAAGTGAAGGGGTTTCCAATCATGGGGGCTGTTGGGGGAGGAGTCCCAAAATTTCAGTCTAAAGGACTCCGCAGAAACAGAAGACCCAATGTTGGAAACCCTCAGTTGGCTGACATGGAGCTGGTCAAAACAGAGGCTCGCCTGAGGTATCCTCAGTGGAGAGCGATTGAACAGATGTAACAGGAGTCCAAGGTCTTACTAGTGGGATTATGAAGGGCGCTGTGAGAAGCTTCAGTGGTTCGGAAATGTACGTCCCATGGTAAGTCTTTTTCCATTTCAGGAAAAGATGGGAGTCATTTCTTAGGTTCAGAGGCCTTCTCCAAACCTGTCACAAAAGCATCTAAGCTCCTATCCAACTCCTGCTGCTGTTGATGATTGACAATTTCCTCACCAAGCTTCTTGTGACGGGCCCATAGGGATATGCAGGCATGGGTCTGCGTGAACCTTATTGTCGGACACCGCAATGCCTGTGGCCGCAACGCCGACAGAAGATGCTATCCTCACAAAAGGGTTGAGTTGAACAGGAAGCTTGCAAATTGTGCTGGAAGCTCTCCGAGCTCTCCGGAAACCTGGCGCATGACGGGGCCCTCTGCAGCTCGGAAAGAGAGCAACCCTACATATCAAGACGTTTCAGCAAGGATCAGCGGTGCGGACTTCACAACCAGTGTGCATATTGCCAAGCATCTGCCAGCGGCACGTTGCCGCAGCCCGGGCAAACGGAGGCAGCCGGCTTCAACCAAGAGGGAGTGCTCGTTGCAGCAATGGGGCGAGGCCTCGAATTTGGGCAAAGAGAGCACCGCATGCCGCGGCACAGCTACAACTTGTTTCCATACCCTTTAACCATGCAGGCCCTGGCCATCCAACCTCTCAAATTCAGAGAAGGCTTTGCTGACAGACGACAAAACGGTCGGCGCCCGGTACACAGCCACCGGCTCGAAGGGGTTCTGCGCTCCGATGAGCGCAGCACAGGCGCCGCCTCAAAGCAGGTCTTCGGCTCTGAGCTAGTGCAAACTCGCTGCTGGGAAAAATTGTAATCACTTTGGGTATCAAGTGGTTGATGTCGCGGTTGTCTCAAGAATTTGTGTTCCGCACATGCAGCTCAAAATCTTCCTGCAGCACGCCTTGCTGTGCAATGCCCCATGGTTCTTGATGGTCACTTGCCGCTTGCAGGGAAACTACTGTCCGATTGACATTCCCCTGTATTGGCAAACAAGTTGATGCGACACGGCTACTTTGAAAAGACGTTCATCTTGGGGGAAGGAATAGCCAACAACAGCACGCTCAGGCACCGCAAGGCCGATACGGCACCGGAGGCCCGGCCATAGCGCATGGCCGCACGCAAGGGCAAGCACAAGCTACGGCGACAGCCTCCTGATCAATCAGCGCCGTCCTAAATTCACAATGAAAATCCGGCGTCTTCTGACGCCGGCTTCGGAACTTGGGCGTTGAAGGCTCCTGATCTGGGCTTCCTCGGGTGGTGATGAATGATGCAGTTTTTGGACGTATTTGGGGCTGCTATCCTTGACGGAAGGTTAAAGACGTCACGTAGGCTGAGCGGATTATAACAATTGAAATAAGGGCGTTATCAACCGGATCATCATTGCTGTTGTTTTGGCTGCTACTGATGCTGATACTCTTTTTGCTGTAAGTGCGGTTGTCAACGATGCCGCTGCTGTTGCAGGGACTGAGGCGATTCTGGATGCATGTTGTCACCTGCAGCTAGGCCATGGAAAGCTTTGTAGGATTGGCGGCACGATCGAAGCGACAGCATAGAGGCTTGCAACAACTTTAAATGTACCCGTACGTGCATGATGAGAACACTATAGTAGTGATCAGTAACAATGATGCTGCTACTTTAGTCAGCCAATCGAGAAAAAAAACTTAATGCTACCAAAATGTCACCCACTGATGTCCATAGCTGTGCCGACAGTATGACTGTATGCGCACATCCGGAAGCACTTGTTTTGGCCTCGTCCCTTTGTTGGGATCCAAGTTGTCTCTTTGTGATTGTCAATGTCCCTGCAAAACATTAACCCTAAACCCTGCGGTCGGTGTAAGCTGTTCCACACCCGCGCTGCGAAGTATGTCACCGAACCCTGTTTGAACGAAGCAACAGAAGTTTGCAGCGCCAAAAAGCACTAAGCCGTAAACCCCCGACGCAGCCTGGTTGCGGTCTCCACTGTGGTATTCCTTGTCGGGACACACTGAAGCAGAATCAGCGGAGAGAAAAAGGGAGGGAAAGAGAGAGAGGGACAGAGAGAGAGAGAGAGAGAGAAAGCTGGAGAAGATTCGTGCTGAGGATCTGGGTTCCAATCCGTAGGTTGCTGAGGTTCGCTTGATTTAGAAGTACCTAGAACCTCTGTCGAGCTCTATGATGCTGATCTTTGCTGCAGGCTCCCCGCATCATTCCAAAGTGTAATGATGCTTCGCTGCGGAGTCTGTGTCCCCACTCCAGCCAGGCGTCTTCATGGTTGCAAAGTCCACCGTGCCGTAGCCGGCCTGCACAGGCTAAGCTAGAAAACAGCTAGTTGCAGGGGGGCATTTTGCGACTGGACGGGTCCATCCTGAGTTACAGTATCCATTTCTTATGACTTGCATGTTGTATGCATCTGGACTCAGGGTTACTTACTTATAAAGTTGAAGCCGAAGCCAGCTGCTAAATAGCAGCCTCACCAAAGTCAGGATTAGGTCGGGCTGGCTTGTGGATTACGCGGTACATGCTGGACCTGCACCCATCCAAACATGACCTGAACAGTACGATTTACGTTTCTGCGCGCACGTAGACTGAGTCTTGGATTGGACTGCGGGTCGAACTTGGAGTTCGGATTTTGATGAGAGATCCCGATGGGAGCCTCATCTTCCATCCAATCCAGGCTCGATTGACACGTCCATGCGCATGCAGCGATTCAAAATGTGCGCTGACTTCCAAAGCCCGAACTTCGCATCCTCTTCAAGGCCATGCAGGGTATCACAACTGAAATACCTGGAATGGTTTCACAAACTGCTAGATTTCGACTGGAAGAACGGGAAACTTCTAGTAGACATCCCATTTTCTGTGATAGGACATTATGGACATTGGGGCAACTTTTGAAGGATCGCCTCGCTGTTACCGTCACTGATCTTGGCACACTCCGCATCCCTGGGCGCAATCCACCTCAGCATAGCTTCCCTTTGTGTTTCTAAGATCCGGCGGTCTCTTTGCAACAGAGACAGTAGGCGCCCAGACATTCTTCTGCTGCGCTTGCCAAGAGCCTAAACTTGGTTTGTTAATTTTGGAAAACAGCTTCAGCACTTTTGCCCTGATGGTCGAAGCCTCTCCGAAAAGCGTAAGAAGAGCAAATGGTGTGACCCCCGCTCTTCGCTGCAAGTCGGCCCAAGCAACTTACTAAACCGGTGCAGTAGCCCAAGGCGGCCACTCTTTGTTGTCCTCTGTGGCAGGACTTCCATTCACGTCGACCGGCACTTTCACAAAGAACCTCATGTCCAAAAAAAATTCACTGCAGTCTCTCGCATGACACGTAAAGGTGGAGCGAGTCTCCTGGCCAGCCTGAAACCGCAATAGCAAATGAGCGCCATAAACTCGCCGATACAAAGCTAATTAATTGAAGCCCACAAGTTTCCACTCTCTGAATCTCGGCTGGCTTTGCGGGACACATTCCCAGCTTGAGCTTGGCTGGTCACGAAAGATCACTTTTCATACGTTCATGCAGTACACATGTGAACATGGTTGCCAAGCCCTCCGGCGCGCCGCTGTTGTCATAAACATTCACGAATGGCACCTGAAGGCAACTATGCAAGCCTAGATGCTTAGATCTTAGATGTTCGAGGTGGAAGTCTTCAGCAATTTGAGGGAGAAGTACAGCGGGTCAGAGCAGATGCAGCTTCCAAAAAAATTTACGCACAGCCTTCCAGCGGCCTAATTGCAGCAATGACGCCTTCTCCTGCAGCCACTTCACCATCGGGTTCTGAGAAGGATCCTGGCAGCAGCAGAGGTTCGTGCGCACGCTTTCTCATACAAAAAAGGGCTCAAAGCAAATGAATGCCTAAACAGCAGCCAGCCCGTTTCAACCGGACTCTGAGGGATTGTCAACTGCTGCTGAGTAACTGTCGTCCATTGCACAGCAAGGAAATCAATAAGTTGTCTTGCTGTTTTGCTGAAGGGGCTGGCACCGTCACGGTGATCCAAACGTAGGTTCGGCGTACAAGCATGCCAGAGCATCATGCAAGATGAGCACATGGAACAAAGAACGCGCCCGCCCATGCGGCCTCGTCCTCCTCATCGGCAGCCAGAGTCTTGATGCCGGTGTAGACCTGGGGCTGCAGAGACAACAAATGGACTGAGCTTATTTAATCTTGCTTCTGGCGATGTGTTCGGCCTGCATGACTGGACTCATGGACTCAGCGGCTAACGATTGAAACCATTCCCTCTGTGCTGGGACCAGCCTTTGAACATACGCCTTTGAATGTACGCTGCTGTACAGCTGCCGCTGGAGAGATTTTGCCCTGGAGTGGACCACTGGTGCAGAGCTAGCTTCGAATAAAGGCAACACTAAATTTTCAGGGCGCTTCACGGCTCAGCCCTGGGCTAAGAAGGCTCCGAAGACAAAGTGCATGAAGACCATGGCGTGCATCATGTACCTGATCAGTGAGGATGACTGCTTCGCTACATCCAGACTGGTGGTTCTTATGGGCTTTGCAATGATTGTACTATACAGCTTTCAGCCATCTCCCAATCGCGCTCCCCAAACACGACCTAAGAAAGGGGGCTCAAAATTGTAATCTGGAAAACTCAAGATGCCACAGAGCCATCCCTTCAAAACAAGCGCAGGCACTCGCCAACGAAGATGAACAGCAGGCGGAACGCCACTGCGCCGCAAATCCTGGAGAATGCAGGCAAAACGCTAAGCCCACCCCAGTGCGGTTACCGCTACTGCAGTACCACTGGTTTTGCTGCTGCTGCCTCATACTGGGACAAGCAAGTACTGGACCATCACCTACGCTGGCGCTGCTGCCGCCGCCGCCACCACCATTGGCGACATCAGCGCAGCGCCATCAGCACCATCAGCACTATCAGCACCGTCAGCACCATCAGCACCAGCATCAGCACCGGCACCAGCACCAGCACCAGCAGCACCACTACCACCACCGCCGCTACCACCACCAGCAGCAACAGCAGCACCCTCAGCGCACCACAAGCCATCGTTGAACCCGCTACCACCGCTGCGACTGCCGGAATGCTATTCCCTCAACCACCAATGATGTGAGAAGGCAGCTTCCAAGGCCCGATCCCTATGTAGAGCGGGCGGTGTTTCAAATGGTCAGGCGTGCCGTAGAGGTTGAAAATGAGGTGGAACACCTTGGAGACATGCACTGCAGTATGCTCTGCATGCTGTTGCAACCCGTCACAAGGGAGCGACTATGATAATATGGAGAATCACCAACTCTATGAGACGAAAGTGCATTAAGTGCGGAGAGAAAAGGGGCAAGCATCGAGGAATTGAACGAGTTGCGGGAAGAGTTTAAACGTGTACAGATGCTTCTGATGAATGACAAGAAACTTGCAAGTGTAACATTGTCTTTTTCATAAGTATGCATACATTACGTCGTGGCACATGTGTAGATATCGGCACCGCTTGGCATGCACAAAGATCGGATAGGCCAAAAAAAATGCAGTAGCCGGTCCTGACACTGACGAAGGAGGTTGAAGGGATACTGTACATGACTGGGCGGATAGTTTTGTCGCATGCACATGTTTCTACATTGCGGAGGACG